TGCAGTACTCCTTATTTGCCTCCTCAATTCTTACTGTTAGTTATTCTAAAAAGGAGCTTACTATAATTTCGAGATAAATGAAATTGTAGGGATATTCATTCGTACATCACTTAGAGCGTAACGTGATTAGCGCGATAGCGTTGCTTGCGTTTCATTCGAGAGCTGAGAGGACTCCCGTTTGCGCGAGAGTTAAAATCCTGCTGAGGTGTTTTCTTCTTGCATAATGCAACGACCGTCTCCCCTTTTCTCTCTCTCTCTCTCTCGCACGGGAGTCGAGGCTCGAATGCGGACTGTTAGGCGAATTCGTTTCAACGTTGTCGGTCATTGCGAAGGTGTTTCTTGTTAAGGTTGCCGTGGAAACCGTGGGGAGTACACCCCCATTATCTAGCTCCCGACACCTACCGACCGCCCGCTCGTACGTACGCACTACCACCAGGATCTACTGTGCAGTAAGTAGGTCAATATCGGCTAAATCACAGCCGGGATAACCCAGCAGAACGAAAGAGCGTTTCTTTTGCAACGCAGCGCGATTGACAATGCTCTCAGCTGCTTTCGCAAAAGCCAAAGCGGTCGTACGTTCAGCTAGGATTCTTCTTCTTCTTCTTCTTCTTCTTTGTTAGAAAAAACTGATGAACGTCTGAGCTTCCTTCCATACGCGCCAAGATCTTGCTATGAATGAGAGCTGATGTGTGTAACAACCCTGAAAGTCTACTTCACAGCTATAAAAGCCTGGGCTGGTTTGATTTCACCTCCGCTGAACGCTGAAAGCACTACCACATGCACGGCTCTACTCAGTCGTGATTGTATCTCGCATATGCCGAACTTTTACCCAAAAAATGGTGCGAGCACGTGTACGCAATTACAGTTTTCTCTTGATAACGACTTATCCTTGCGTGTTTATTCTGGATTTTCTTCTTTTCTCTGCGAAGAAAACATTTGTTCTATTTGATTTATAATTTAATAAACATTCATTCACTCTTTTTCTAGATGTAATTAACGACGCGGTATTTGACGAAGATCACGACGAGATGGTGGTGGTTAAGGATATCGAAATGTTCTCCATGTGCGAGCACCACTTAGTACCGTTCTACGGCAAGGTGTCCATCGGCTACCTTCCCTGCAAGAAGATATTAGGACTCAGCAAGCTCGCCAGGTAATTAACCCTAAAGCTCTAAACGTCGAAAAGTTAAGCGTGGTCTACAATGAGAACTTAAGCTTTAAGCTCTAAGTAAGAAATTAATCAATCACAGTTAAATTATAGAAAAATAATTAATTAATTGGTCAATTTCTTACTTAGAGCTTAAAGCTTAAGTTCTCATTGTAGACCACGCTTTACGTAGACTATAAATATAAGTAAATTTTATCCAGCGCATTTCCATACGCTTATAACTCCTCTGCAAAAATGATTAAAATTCAATACTTTTTTAATCGATGCAGACAACATCGAGGAATATGGATCTATTAATGTTTCTGCAATTCAATGAAGTTAAAAAAAAGTCATAATGAAAAACAACACGTTTTTACGAACAATATCGTTTGAATAATTGATCCGGGTTAATTGTACTCATGTTTAAGGTTCTAAGTTCAAGATCTCGCTGTGCGCACGTGTGTTAAGGATCTCATTAGGTTCGTCGCAAAAAAACTGGAAAAAAAAAGATTTGCTAATATATGGACAACTAAAAATATTAACTGCAGGAGCAAATTTTCTCGCTTTCATAGCAAAGTTATTTAGTTGTGATAGCTACAAGATTTGCTAATATATATATATATATATATATATATATATATATATA